CGAGTGGGAAAGAACTGTTTGAGAAGTTGTTGCAACCTTGTGTAGATAATGTGCAGACAATATGGAATGTAGACTAAGAGTCTACATAAGTGAAAAAAACAAGATATCAGAATGACCAATGTATAAACAAAAAAATGCTGCGGTTGCTTTTCATTGTCTGTAACAAAAGGTATAAATGTTTGCTGTAATTGTTTAGTTGTGAAGAGACCTGCCTAGGAGGGGGAGACCCTGTGTCCTAGTGCACTCTCTTCCTTTACACAGCTGTTAAAGAGAATAAAGTATCTGACTTTGCTGTACCCAAACAAAGAGTGAAAACTGTGTTATTCTCCGACACAAATAATAACAGACAGAACAAAGTGAATTACCAAGCAAAATAAAACACACAAGTCTAAACCTAATACAGTAAGAAAACGGAATACAGATGAAATCTCACCCTCAGATGTTTCAATAAGCTTCTATCACAGACTGGATGCCTTCCTAGTCTGGGCCCAATACTTTCCCCTGGTACAGTCCTTGTTCCAGCTCAGATGGTAGTTAGGGGATTTCTCATGACTGCAGCCCCCTTTGTTCTGTTCCACCCTCTTATATATCTTTTGCATAATGGGGGATTCCTTTGTCCCTCTCTGGGTTCCCACCCCTCCTTATAAATGGAAAAGCACTAGGTTAAAGATAGATTCCAGTTCAGGTGACATGATCACGTGTCACTGTAAAACTTCATTACCCACTTGCCAGCACACACATATACAGGAAGACTTACAAGTAAAACAGAGCCATCTACAGACAATTGTCCTGGTTAATGGGAGCCATCAAGATTCCAAACCACCATTAATGGCCCACACTTTGCATAGTTACAATAGACCCTCAGAGTTATATTTCATATTTCTAGTTTCAGATACAAGTGTAAGCAGAGTCAGGATGAGCTCTACCCTGACATCTGGTGGTGCATTGTGGCGAGTTGTGGAAAAGAAATTCAGGGGCTGATCTTGTTTGCATAGGCACACCCACCCTGCCTAGCATGAGCCCACAGCAGCTCAAATGGTCACTGTGGCTGCTGTGGGATCCCCAGTTTCTCTGTTATTGGGGCAGAAGAATAAAGTGTTGATACCCTGATTATGTGAATCAAGGACAATGGAACTGTTTTATGACAGAGGGACTCGCCATCAACTAAGTAGCACTTGCTAGACAAGGGACGTGGGTTCCAAAATCCAGTGGATTGAGAGGAGTGTTTGACAAGTATTTGTACTGGGTGATCTGAGGCCCCTTTGAGTGCTTGAAATACTAACTGTATCTTTTTCTCCTATTTTCTTCTCTCTTTCCCCTTCTCTCTTTTTTCCCTTCCACTGTGGAATATCAGAGCTAATTTTAAATCTGTTAAGAATCTAGTTACAGGATGCTGAGCTGAACTCACTTTGGGTCAATAGTGCACCAGCATTGAGGCTCCTCTACTACAAGCTGAAATCACTAAAGAACTAAAACTGGTAAGAGCTGAAATTGCTTGGGGC